TACTCTAGCATAGTTCCTCCCTTTGCTGGTTTTCCATTTATTTTTCATTTCTTCTTCAAGAAATATCTTATTGAGTATGTTTTATAGCTCAGGCTTTCTAGATATGAATTCTTATAAATTTTTGTTTATCATGGAAGGTTTCTATTTCATCATCAACTCTGAAGCTTAATTTTGCTGGAGATACTATTCTTGGCTGGCATCATTTTTTTCAAAGCTTGATATATATTATTCCAATACCTCCTAGCTTTGAGAGCCTGGTTGAGAAATCAGCTGAGATCCAGATTGATTTCCCTCTACATATGACCCATCATTTTGCCCTGGCAGCCTTTAAAATTCTATCCTCATTCTGTATGTTAGTCATTTTCATAATCATGTGCCTTGGTGTGGGTCTGTTATAATTTTGTACATTTGAGGTCCTATAAGCCTCCTTTATTTTATTTTCCATTTCATTCTTTAGGCTTGAGAAATTTTCTGATATTATTTCATTGAAAAGACTATGCATTTCTTTGGTTTATGTCTCTGAGCCTTCATCTATCCCAATCAATCTTACATTTAATCTTCTCAGGTTATCCATATTTCATGGAAGTTTTGTTCATGATCTCTTAACATCTTTTATCCATAGTCTACTTTAAAGATTATACATTTTGTAATTCCAGCAACTTGGAAAGCTGAGGCAGGAGGATAAAGAGTTGAAAGCCAGCCTCAGCAAAAGCAAGATACTAAGCAACTCAGTGAGACCCTGTCTCAAAGTAAAATACAGAATAGGACTGGGGATGTGGCTCAGTAATTGAGTATACAAGTTCAATCCCTGGTACCTAAAAAAAAAAAAAGAAAAGAAAAAGAAAAATTATACCTTTTGTCTTCATTGCCTAAAACTCTGTTTTGTAAGAGGTCTAATCTGTTCATGATGCCTTACATTGAATTTTTAATTTGGTTTACTGATTCATTTTGAGGATTTCTGATTTTTTTTCAGAATCTCTCTCTTTATTGAAGTGATATTTCACTACTTGTATATTCTCTCTAATTACACTCCTAACATCATTCTTTACTTCCCATATCAGTTTAAGTACATATATTCTAAACTCCTTTTCTGATATTTCTTCCACTGTGGTGTCAATGAATTCTGTTATTGAAGTATCTTAGTTTGTTTTGGGTGATTTGTTCCCTTGCTTTTTCATGTTGTCTGCTCATATGTGTGTCTACTCATCTAACAGTATGGATCTGAGGCAGTAGAGTTTCTACCCTGTGGACTTGCAGTATCCCTGAAGATGTCCAGTACCTCACCATTTGGCAGGAGACAAATAATACAAACCAATGCAAACCATACACAGAATTAGTCCAAATAGTTCCTTCTATGCATCTACAATGTTAACTGTCACAATAAACAAAAGTGATATGATCATTTATTGCCCACAGTAAAAAAAAAAAGTGAGTTTGCAAAAGGGTTTACAAATTTTGAATGGTGGACAGGGAGAGAACAGAAGTGATGTGGGATGTGATGACTATGAGGGAGAAAAGAAAACAGAAATAGAAAAATATAGGAAGAGTGAAAGAGAACAATAGAAATTGGCTATTAGCAGAAAACAAGAGAGAAAGAGAATCAAAGGAAACAAGTGAGATAAAAAGATATACAAAGTAAAATTTTAAAAAATTAAAAATAAAAGAATACAAAACAAATCTGAAATATACAAATCAAACATCCCAGTCCTCAAAATACTAATCCATGAAAAAATAACTGACTTCAAAAATGCTAAAAATGAGGAAAAAATAAATATGAATATGTATAAGTGTTTTTGAACCATCCAGATCACAAAGAAAAAAGAGGAAAAAAAAATTTAAAACTTGATGAAAAGTTAAAGAATTTTTCTGTTGGAGTTCAAAAAGATTTTCAGCTTCCCTTCTCAACAGAGCTAGATGGGGTGGCCTGGAATGTGATGCCTGCTCCACCCTTAATGTGGGGTTGCTGAAATGAGAGGAAATCCTGTAGGCAGACCTCATGGAAGTGGGGTGTAGACACAGGTGGTCTCCAGGTTTTCACTGAATGGCAATTGGTCTGGAGATTTTAAATCAGCACACCTCCAGGACCCAGCAACTGCTGGTCCACACTGGAAGACGAGACCCCTGGGATCTCCCCTGGGTTCCACTCATGCAGTGGAGGAGCCAATTCTTAGTCCCTTCATTTCATTGTCTCTTAGATTCAGTCTCCAAACTCAATCTTTCCCACCCCTGCATCTTTCCAATTACCAGTCAGGTGCATCTCTCCCAGTCAGTCCTGCAAGCAGCTAGATTGGAGGGGAAGGGGGGAAAGGTGGGTGGGTTACCATGACCAGTATTCCCCTGTGTAAACCCCTCTCCACATTTGATTTTCTCCTGGTCAGTTAAGCACACTCTACATTATGCAGTGTGGGTTTGCCAGGCCTGTATTTTGGGCAAAACTCAGGTTTACCAGGAATCAGTTCCCCGCTAGCCACCAGCCACTTCACCACAGCTGCAAAATGACTCCTTCCTCTTTCCTCCACAGGCAGCCAAGAATGATGTGGCTTCTTTCCTGCACTAGGATATCGTGCAGCATGCCTTTCAGTTCAGTCGGGCAGTGTCTTTGATCTCTGAACTCTCCATACCCAAGACACACCTCAGGCCTCCTAAAAATACAGGTTCCTTTAATTCCCTTATCCCTCCACTTTGCTCAAAGAGACACTGCTATGGCTGGTGCCTCCAGTGGCAGCAATGGAGGTAGTGCTGGAAATGTCTTCCTTATTATGTACAACCTCCTGAGTCCCCGATCTGCTTTGAATTTCCAGTATTAGATTTCAGTGAAGTCTCGCCCCCCACCCTTTTTTTTTTCACCCACCTTGCTGAGAAGCTGCCTATGTGCTTTCTTGGTTTCATGCCACAGCACAACCAGGAAAGCAACCTTCTCTATTCTGCCATCTTGAAAAAGTAGTCTAACATTCTTACAATAGGGACAGGACATGGATCAGTGACTGGCAGGGACTAGATATCCAGGAAGAGGCTGACCATACAAGAACATAAAGTGGGAATTCTGGGAGCCATGGAAATGAAGTTCTGTATCTTCATTATTGTGGTGGACATAATACTGAGTTTGTCAAAACCTGCAAAACTTTCCACTAAAAAAAAAAAAAGATGAATTTTAATGTATGTAAATTACACCTTAACTTAAAGATACAAAATTCACACCAAATTAGAAAAATGACTTACAATTAAGGAGAAAACAAATTTGCCTAGTTGAAACCTAACATAAATAAACGCCCACTTTGGGCTATCTATACATAAGGCAAGTTTTAAGAGAAAATAACTGACCAGGAAAGAAAAATGTGTACAATTAGGGAGTAAGTATAAATACATAGGTAAAGCTAGTCCTTTGAATAGATCACAATATGAGTGGCATATTTTTATTTACAAAATTTTGCCTTTTGTCTAACAACTAAGAAGGCGGGCTGGCACAAATGAGATGCTTGGTTTAAATGGAAATGGTTGAATATCCATGAGATACGGAACACAATGTCTGGCCCTAAGTAAATGCTGAACAAGTGGTTGCAAGAGCAACAGAATAGGGTTAGGGTTGTGGCTCAGTGGTAGAGCAATCACCTAGCATGTGAGGCCCTGGATTCGATACTCAGCACCATGTAAAATTAAATAAAATAAAGGTATTGTGTCCAACTACAACTAAAAAATGAATTTTTTTTAAAAAAGAGCAACAGAACAGAAAAACTTTTTGCTAGAACTTGAAAATAACATATTTAGTTAAAGCAACTCCTACAGATATTTATTTTTCAAAAGCAAAGCAATTGCTTCAAATGGGTATGTGCCTCTTTCTAACAAGAAGTATGGTGACATTCAGCATATTTTATGAAAAGAGCATAAGTGAATATCTAAAATAAAACATTTGCATACTGTCATGTGACTTTTAAGCTTTAGTAACTGCTTTGCTATCCACTGTGATTATTTTATGACTTATTTTCAATGATGTTTTTATTATTGATGTTTTGTAATACTGTTGCTTTAAACATTTAAACATTTTTGTCAGCTTTAAAAAATGGATTATTCTTCAGAAATAGCATTTAAGTTTACTTTCTGCCCTGAAGTACTGAATTTATTTTGAAATAAAACATTCTGACGTTATCAATAAATCAAAAAAACAACCAAATAATTATATTTTATGCGATGGAATTTTACTAGACAAAATTAAAGTCTTTTGGATGAACTCTGGATGATGAATCCATACACCTGGGCCAACATTTCAGGTCTGATACTATATAACCACGTCAGCTTAGTATAAGGTTCTGCACCTTCTGGTCTGTAAAATGAGATGTTGCAGGACTTTCAAAATGAATTTTTAGAAGGGATCATCTATGAAGAACTAAGTACACAAAGATAAATCTGACACAGTGCCCTAAGAACCCTTGTGCGGTACTTGAGATAGTTTCTTAGAAAGAATTACTATTGCCTTTGAACTCGAAAGAATTTTTTTTAAGGAAGCAAGCAAAAGCCTAAGCCTCCATTGCTCTTAATTGTCACATCTTTTCAAATGAGTAAGCACATCTATAGATAAGGTGACCAACTCTCCTGATTTGTCTGGAACAGAATGGGTTCCCAGGAACAAAATTTTCCATGTTAAAACTGGGACAGTCCTAGGTTAACAAGGCCAGGGTTAAGGAGGTTCCCAGGACTCTCTCTAAAGACCATGCCAATAGAAGAATAGACAAGTTATAGATGAGTAAATAACTTTATCATCCCACTGACTTCCTTAACTGACGCTGAAGTTCCAGCATTTTATTTACCTTTCTTACCCAAGGTTGAATCTGATGTTAAAACTAAAAACTACAGAACAAGAAAAATTACCTTGTTTTTACCTTTGCCTCTTTCCTACCACTTTAATGAATCTGGGGATCTCAGTAACAGTCATCAATATTGAACATCTTTTTGACCTTGGACACATGTGATAATGGCTAACCAATTTTCCTGTCATTACTTTTTAGCCCCTGAGTTTTGAAAGCAAGAAAAGCTATACCTTGAAGGTGGAGGGAGCCAATCCTCATCTGGAGATGCGTTTTCTAAACCTGGGCCCCTTTCAAGACACAACAACAGTGCACATCAGTGTAGAGGATGTGGATGAGCCCCCTGTGTTTGAACCTGGCTTTTATTTTGTGGAGGTGCCTGAAGATGTAGCAATTGGAACAACCATACAGATCATCTCTGCCAAGGACCCAGATGTGACCAACAACTCAATCAGGTTTTTCCAAAGATTCCACCTTTTCCTTATATCCTGCAACATTAATGTTCCCTTTCCATAATGTGATTTTCTAGCCCATTTTCCCCTTGCTTCTTCCTTTCCTATCCCATCTCTGGAAATTCTGAGGTTTTTTTCCTATTTATATAACATGGACCTGTCATGTTAATTGGAAATGAAGTATCATTATATCTGAAACTCACTTTCATTTGGTTCAAACAAACACATATACACGCATACAACCTTAGTTCTCAATCATAGTCCCACTTACATTTGAGGTTACATAATTCTGTGTTGCTATGGGAGGTTGTCCTGTGCACTGAATGATGTATAGCAGTATCTCCAGCCTTAACCCATTAAATGCCAGTAGCACCCCACCACCACCAAGTCATAACAACCTAAAGTGTCCACCCTATACTAACAAATGTCCAGGACAATGGTGCAAAATCAACCCCAGTGGAGAACTATAATTAAGATAAAACAGACACACAGATGTTAAAACATTAAACCCTTGACTCTTAGTGGTGATATAAAGGTGATCATTGCACATTCTTTCAATTTGAATAAACCTTTGATTTTTCACTTTTAAAAAATGGGAAAAGTAAACTATATGTATTTCCACATACTGTAGAAACAACATAGAAACTACTCCTGATGCCAATACTTTTAAAGCAATGCAGACTGCCAGACAGGGCAATCTCACATATCTGTCTAAGGTATGTTCTGAAATTAAAAGATGCTTCCCCCTCAGGAGGTGAGAACTGCTCTTATAACCATGGCCATTTTTCATCAACTCTGGAACCAAAGAGCAAACAGCTGGTGGACAGGTTGACAACTCAACCTTCCAGAGCAACTGCCAAGCTTCTGAAGCCCAACACAAAAGATTAGAATTCCAAGGCTATTTAAGGCCATCTGTCACATTAATTGTAAAAACCCACACAGTAAAATGAATCTGAGGCCTCAGTTCAAATAACGCATTTTAAACACACTCCAATTTATCAAATGCCTATTCTGTCAAGTGGCTACTTCCTTTACCTGGTTCTGTTGTGTATTTAATGAAAATGTGCTTTTTCAATTTAACAAGAATGATTTTCTCTAGAGAATAACTACACTAGGAGGAAATCTGCTTCCCTGAACCAAGTAGTAAACATTTTACAAGTTCAGGCCTTAAAATGGCTAAAATGATTTTGTTTGAATTTTTCTGTTTTCTTGAGGACAACTCATCTTTCTGAGTTAAAACTTTAAAAAGTAATATTCCAAATTTAAGCTTTGTAAATGTAAAACAGAAAGACAAGTAAACCTATATTGCCCTCAAAACAACCACAACACAAATGAAAGAGATTATCTTGTAAATTTATATTTTCAGAAGCCAAGAAAATTCTTTTTTATAATTATACAATTATTTTTTTTCAATCTAATTAATTTTTTATTTATATATGACAGCAGAATGCACTACAATTCTTATTACACATATAGAGCACAATTATTCATATCTCTGGTTGTATACAAAGTATACTTACACCAATTCATGTCTTCATACATGTACTTTGGATAATAATGTCCATCACATTCCATCATCATTTCTAACCCCATGTTCCCTCCCTTCCCTTCCCACCCCTCTGCCCTATATAGAGTTCGTCTATTCCTCCCATGCTCCCCCTCCCTACTGGACTATGAATCAGCCTCCTTATATCAGAGAAAACATTCAGCATTTGTTTTTTGGGGATTGGCTAACTTCACTTAGCATTATCTAACTCCATCCATTTACCTGCAAATGCCATGATTTTATTCTCTTTTATTGCTGGGTAATATTCCATTGTGTATATATGCCACATTTTTTTTATCCATTCATCTATTTAAGGGCATCTAGGTTGGTTCCACAGTTTAGCTATTGTGAACTGTGCTGCTATAAACATTGATGTGGCTGTGTCCCTGTAGTATGCTGTTTTTAAGTCCTTTGGGTATAGACCGAGGAAAGGGATAGCTGGGTCTAATGGTGGTTCCATTCCCAATTTTCCAAGAAATCTCCATACTGCTTTCCATATTGGCTGCACCAATTTGCAGTCCCACCAACAGTGTTGTAAGTGTACCTTTTTTCCCACATCCTCGCCAACACTCATTATTGTTTGTATTCATAACAGCTGCCATTCTGACTGGAGTGAAATAAAATCTTAGAGCAGTTTTGATTTGCATTTCTCTGATTGCTAGCAATAATGAACATTTTTTCATATATTTGTTGGTTGATTGTATATCATCTTCTAAGAAGTGTCTGTTCAGGTCCTTGGCCTATTTACTGATTGGGTTAAGAAAATTCTTTATGATTATAACTTATAAACTGTATATCTATTAATCTACAACATATTGATTTATTCATATCAAAGGAGATACTGTAGGGAGAACTTTACAGAATAAAACATTTTGGGGGAAACTGAAATATTATAAGCACAAGCTTAAAAATATCAGATCCTATTCTAAAATAGTCAGAATATACTGTGGATACTTCCACGTCTTCCCAGATTGTGACTCTTGACCCCTATATGGTAAAGTACTATGACTTCTAATAGGATCCCTATAGGGACCTACTGAACAACAAATAAGCAAAGAGACTGAACAGCCAGGCAGCACACATACAACCCTAGAGTGTACATCCAGTATTTAAGACTAACTCATTAGCTCAGGATATATCCAGGAATAAAAGAGAAACATCAGAGGTTCTAGATCCATTACTAGCATGAAGCAAAATGAGGTAGACAAAATGAAAGAATATGCTGCATGGTTAATTCATCTTCTGAATTTTGGTTATGAAGAATAAATAAGATTCATATTCATAAAAATAAAATACGTATTAAATCATGAAAATAATAAATGTTTTATCTGAAGTTAAAATGTAATACATTAAAGGCCATTTAACATTTTTAAAAGATTATTAGGACTTTTACCATCTTCATTCTAGAAAGTTGATAGTATGTTCAAGTATGTAATCTGATTGTCAATTACTGATAATCCCTAGAATAGCATCTCCAGATGTAGCCATATATATATTACAAATAGAACACTTAGATTCCCTGAATTTTTAATAAATGTTCAAGAAATTTCTGGAAATCAGGCTACTGACCATTTGGCAACTGAAATAGGCTTCTGCTAATGTACAAATGGCCTATTCTCTTGGCTATCTGGAGTGTGTGGATTTACCAAGCATGATCATTACCCCAAATTCAGAGAAATAGGGAGTCAAACAAACACCAATTACTATTTGCTTAAGGCAGTTTTGTATGTGTGCTATACCTATTCTGCTCATAGTACACAGGAATATTAGAGAAAGAAAACCACCTACAAAATCTACAAGTGTGTCCCAATTTCTTCATTTTCCATCTGTATTTTACACCTTTAATTTGTTCTCCTACCTCCTGGAAATTGGCCCAGTGCCCCATTCAGAGAAATGAGGCCATTATGCCCTCAATGCAAACCTCATCTGGGAAAGTAGAAATGGGAGAGGGATTCCTCTTGATGAGGGAGGCTTCTTGAGGCAGTGTCCTGCTATATCAACCAGGCAATGCTGTCAGTGGTCCTGGCCCTTTGTTATTTCCATAATTCCATCTCCCATACTATCTGTGACATTTGCTATGCTGTTGTAGCTTTGAGTATAGAAAGTTGATTCCTCATAGGCTGCTCTCCCCTTGGCATTATGCCTACAGTTTGGCGAGCTGCCATATGGTTCCATGAACCAAATACTGGGCGGGCTTTTCTCATGTGTGAGGAGCTGACTAGTGTGGTTTTCTTTTCCCCTAAGAAAATTCAGTTTTTAAAATAGCTAGTAAACTTTAAAACTAAATCACAAATTATGCCTAGAAAAAAAATAATGTGGGCTGGGATTGTGGCTCAGCAGTAGAGCACTTGCCTTACATGAGGCACTGGGTTTGATCCTCAGCACCACATAAAAGAATAAATAAATAAAATAAGTTATAAAAAATAATGTTCCAGTTAATTTAAATGAACTGTATAGGCATTTTTTTAATTATTAAAAAGTCAGCTATTAGCTTCAGGGCTTATCTGGGAGAGGTCGATTTCTGTTTCCTTAGACAAGCTCATATAATGTGTGTGTCAGTAGTGCAGCATGGTCTGTTGGTTAGTTCAAGGAATCTGAAGCCAGACCACTTAGGTTCAGTTCCCAGCAATGTGACCTTGGACAAATGACTTAACCTCTTCAAACCTCAGGGTTTATTTTTTCACCTGTAAAACAACATAATAGTAACCTACCTCGTAGTGTTCCTTTAAAGTTAAATGTAGATAACATACGTAGTATGTGCTGAGCAGTGCATGGCGTACAGTAAATGTTCGTTAAATAGGATCACAGATAGAATGAGACATTAATTTATATTATTAAATGTCCTAACTCTTATGGAATCAAAACTGAAACAATTCCAACTTCTTCAGACCTTTCTCATTGGTTATCTCTTTAATTGCTAATTCTCTGAATGGCCTTGCTGAATCTCTGCAAAAGATATGTGCATGTTTGAAACAAAATACTTTGCCATTTTACCAACCCATATATATATATATATGGGTGTGGGTGAGTATACATATATATTCACAGACTGTATACCTATATATATATGAAACAAAAGTTTTACATCAGATTACATTTACAGCATATGATAGACTGGCACATGTATACACACAAGCTCGCGCACAACACACACACACACACACACACACATTCTAATTCATTTTGCTTCAATGTAACTCATAATCCACAATACTGACTTTATAATCTACTAACTTGCAGTTTAAAAACAATGCACTAAAGATACTTATTCCCAACAAAACTATAATTTTGCTCTATCTCAAATTTAAGATACAGACTACAGTCACTGAGCAACTTTATTTTTAATTTTTTATTTGTTTTAATTAGTTATACATGACAGTAGAATGCACTTATATACTTTGATATATCATACATAGATGGAGTATAATTTCTCATTTTTCTGAGTATACATATTGTAGAATCATATTGGTCATACAGTCACATATATACATAAAGTAATAAGTTTCATTCTACTACCTTTCTTATCCCCATTTCCCCTGCCTTCCCCTCCTTTCACTTCCCTCTAACTAATCTAAGGTAACGCTTTTTTTTTTTTGCATTACAATTCTTAGTTCACATATATACCACAATTTTTGTATCTCTGTTTGTATATAAAGTATGTTGACACCCAATTCAAGTCTTCATACATGTACTTTGTATTATGATGTCCATCACATTCCACCATCCTTGCTAATCCCCTGCCCCTTCCCTTCCCCTCCCATCCCTCTTTCCTATCTAGAATTCATCTATTCCTCCCATGTCACTGATGAGAATTTTGAACACAATGTATCCCCTGGACACTATTTAAACATGTTATAAGAGCACAATAGTTATAACTCTATATATATGGTTTCAAATCTTAGTTCTGCAAATTACCTGTGTAATGTATGAAAGTGCCTTAATTTCTCTAAGCCTCAGTTTCCTTATCTGATGATTGGTAAAATAATGTCCCAGAGACACTGCCAAACTTTTAAAAGAAGCTATGTATTAAGAACATGGTAAAGTGCATGGTATTCAATAAATTACAGTTATTATAATTACTCACCTTTTTAGAATAGAGTCCCTCTCCCAGTCTTTATGAGTTTTCTCTTACATCTGTAGATTGTTTCCTTTGCTGTGCAGAATCTCTTTAGGGGCTGGGATTATAGCTCAGTGGTAGAGCACTTGCCTAGCATATGTTCAATCCTCAGCACCACATAAAAATAAATAAGTAAAATAAAGGTATAAACAAAAAAACTTTTTAGTTTGATATAATCTCATTTGTCTATTTTTGATCTTATTGCCTCTGTGATTTTAGAGTCATATTCAAAAAACCATTGCCCAATAGGGCACAGTAGCACATGCCTATAATCCCAGCAACTCAGGAGGCTAAGGGAGGAGAGGAAGAAGATCCCAGCTTGGGCAATTTAGCAAGACTCTTTTTCAAAATAAAATAAAAGGGGCTGGGGTAGACTCCCACTGCTTTAAATTCCAGTACCAGGGGGGGGGAAAAAAAACATTACCCAGACCAATGCTATACAGTTTTCTTCTAGTGGTTTTACAGTTTCAGGTATTATATATTTAAGTCGATAATTCATTTGAGTTGATCCTTGTGTAAGAAGTCAGATAAGATAGTTTTCTCAGTACCATTTACTGAGGAGGCTATACTTTCCACATATGTATTCTTGGTATCTCTATCAAAAAATCAATTGATTGACCACAGAGATACGGGTTTATTTATGGATTCTCTAGTCTATTCCACTGTAATGTGTCTGGTTTTATACCACTATCACGCTATTTTAATTAGCTTTTTAATATATTTTGATATCAGGACAAATAACCAAAAAAAGACATATAGATATCCTACAAATATACAAAATATGCTCAACATTACTAATCATTAGGAAAATACAACTTAAAGCCACAATGGGCTGTCATCTCACACCTGTTAGAATGGTTATTTTCAAAAATATGAAAGATAATTGCTGGCAAAGATGTAGAGAAAAGGGAGCCCTACTCTGTTAATGCAATGTAAATTAGAATGCCATTTTTGGAAAAGAGTATAAAAATTATTTGATATACTAGAAATAGAACTACCATAAGATCTAGCAATTCCACTTCTGAATATAAAACCAAAGGGAATCAAAATCAGTATATTAAAAGGTCTGCATTTCCATTCACTGCAATATCATTCACAATAGCCAAGATATGGAAAACAATGTAAGTGTCCATCAACAGAAAAACTTTTGAAATGTGGAATATATAAAGAATGGAATATTATTCAGCCTTAAAAAAGAAGGAATTGTCAACTGAAACAACATAAATGAATCTTGAGGACATATGCTAAGTGAAATAAATCAGGAACAGGAAGACAAATATTACATGATCTTACTTTTATGAAGAATCTTTAAAATTCAGAATAAAATGGTGGTGCCTGGAGGGCAGTGGTGGGGTGGGGTTTGGGGTGGAGGAGAGAGAAAAGAAAGATGTTGGTGAAAGGGTCCAAAGTTTCAGTTAGGAGGAAAAAGTTCTGGTAATCATTTGTATAAGCGTAGTGACTGGTTAACAATAAGATGTTATATATTTCAAAATTGCTGGAAGAGTTGAATAAATGTTCTTACCAAAAAGAAATAATAAGTATGTGAGGTGATAAATACATTAAAATAAAATAAAAATTACTAGTCCTTGGTAAAGACTGAGGACTACATAAGGTTCTCAATAATGGTTCTCAATCATTATTGTTCATCAAAATCCCCTATGGAGGATTTTAAACATACTGATGCCTGAGCCTCGCTCTATACTTGACAAATCTCCCAACATGAGGACCAAGTGGGCTAATACAGGTGAGACAACACAAAATAATTAGACTGCCAAATCAGATTCAACAGGAATTTTAGAGCTTACCCAGTACCAAGTTTACTAATGACTTGAAGGATACAGACAATAGCACTTCCCTTGGAAAGGTCTGAAAATGTCAGGCACAACTGCCTGTATATTGCTGCTTTTTCCCACATAAAGATGCAAATTGGTCCAGATTGAACAGGAGAGATTGAAACAATGGATGAGGTTAATTTTCTGAACAGAAAAAGTCAATTTTATTATAGAACATCAGTTATTATACCCTACTAAACTACACAGCTTACATGACATCTTCCAGCAAGGTATATCCTATAAATGTGTTAACTTCAGGTTTATTTATAATAAATAACATAGACAGACCTGGTGCATCCTGCTAAAAGTGTTCTATAAGAATCTTCAGGGGGCTGGGGATGTGGCTCAAGCGGTAGCACGCTCGCCTGGCATGCGTGCGGCCCGGGTTTGATCCTCAGCACCACATACAAACAAAGATGTTGTGTCCGCCAAATACTAAAAAATAAATATTAAAATTCTCTCTCTATCTCTACCTCTCTCTCACTCTCTCTTTAAAAAAAAAAAAAGAAAGAATCTTCAGCTGGTAAATACCATTACTGTATCTATCAGAAGGTGAGTCTTGGCATGTTTACAAAGAACCTGGTACAAAGCTTTCCTCCCCAACAAGTGATACTAATTACAAGAACTAGAACCACTAATCTATACCTTTTCCTTTTTTCCAGTTTCAGATTAGCATTTGAGAATTCACTTGGATTTTGAACAAATATATGTAGGGGTTTTTAGTATAATTCTTGGAGAAGTATCAGGTTTTAAGTAGAATAAATTGATCTTTAAGTAGTTTAAAACTGCCCTAAATTCTTGGCACTGTGTTTATTTATTTATTTATTTGGGGGGGGGGGGTACCAGGGATTGAACTCAGGGGTACTCAACCACAGAGCCACATCCCCAGCCCTATTTTAAATTTTATTAGAGACAGGGTCTCACTGAGTTGCTTAGAACCTTGCCATTGCTAAGGCTGGCTTTGAACTCCTAATTCTCCTGTCTCAGCTTCCCAAGCTGCTAGGATTACAGGCGTGCCTCACCTCCTCCGGCAATTTCATTTTTTAATCAGAAAACTAAAGCAGTTCTTTATTTTTTTGTTTGTTTTGTTTTGGGTTTTGGTATTTGTTGATTTTTGAATATAATAAAATGATGTCTTTCAAGTATTCATAACTCAGATCTGACTGAGCCATGTTTCACATAGTTATATACTCAGTTCTATCATGCTATTGTATTTTTGTCAAAATGCAAATAATCTGCATGATCCATGTTTTTGCAGATACTCCATTGACAGAAGCAGTGATCCTGGAAGATTTTTCTATGTTGACATTACAACAGGTGCCCTAATGACTGCAAGACCGCTAGATCGGGAAGAATTTTCTTGGCATAATATTACTGTCCTTGCCATGGAAATGAGTAAGTATCATAATAAACTGGTCTCCATGTAGTGATAAAATGTGTGCACAAAGTGCAAGTTTCTAGAACTTGTAACAAAATTCAATCTTAAAAAGAAACTGAAATCACATTTTATGCAAATAAATGAATGTATTCAGCTCAAATACCTTGAGTATCTATTGTATATTTAGCTTTGTTCTAAAGAAAAAAGCAAACAAAACATGCAAAAGCAGTAAGATAGCATTCTTATCCCAAGTAGCTATGAGTAAAAGGAATGGTTACAGAGAAATCTAAAAGGCTTTCAATCTTTAATAAGTTTGCAAATGTACATAATATAAATAATATTATTACTCAACGAAAACAAGTATCAATAATATATCATTCTTGTTAAATAGACACCTACTCATTTCCATGCCTGCAAGAATCAGGCATCTCATAAAAAAGGCAGATTAACATAATAAACTTATAATTGGAATGGCAAATTAATAAAAGCTATATTAAGATATAGGTTATAAACTTAAAAGGGGTGCTGGGAATGTAGCTCGGTGAGAGTTCTTACTTAGCACACACAAGGCCCTGAGTTCAATTCCCAACACCACTAAAAAAAAAAAAAAAAAAAAAAAAAAGACCTGAACACAAATGAGGTTATATACTACATTCAACTTTTTTCATAATATATACTGATGATAAAGGTTCAAGGAAATATAGTTCCTAACTTATTAGCTATAGAACTAGGCACAGCTATTCAAAAGGCCAATTTGACAGTATGCATTAAGATTCTTCAAAATATTCATACTCTTTTTCTCAGGAATTCTACTGTTAGTAATCATCTTTTTAAAATTATAAATATCAGCAAACACTGATATAACAAAATGTTCACTGCAGAGTTATTTTTAAATATGGAGAAAGTGGGAATTACCTAACAAATGGAGATTGGCCAAATAAATTACAGTACAACCTACTGTCAAATGAGAGTATCACGTAGACATTAACTATCATGATTTCAAAGTATATTCAATAACAGGACAGTCTTCTCCTAAAATTATTCTGAATTCAATATTTTCACTTCACTTAACTTCATTCTGAGTATATATATCTTTGTGTATGTGTGTAGCCCTATCTTTTTGGACACACACATTAAATTATATACACAAAGGATATCTCAGGTGGTAGGATTATGGATTATATTCATCCTCTTATGCTTTTTCTGATATTTTTATTATTCCTTCTACAAATAAGAACCACTATTATAATTAAAACATAAATTCCAATTATGTTGATATTTTCCAGCATCAATATTCTCAAGAAAGTAAGAAAATGAACCAGAAGAACAATGCATTCTGGGATTTAGTAAAATTATTTACTAAGAAAAATTTCTGTCTTGTAATTTCGTTTTGTCTCCTTAGGTGCTGAACAAATCAGAAAAAGATAGGAGCAGCACCACTGGGGCTGTGAAATTGTCTTTGTGTGGCAATGCCAAGCAAAAGACACAGACTTAAAAGACACATTTCCCCATGAGTGCCTATGGCTTCTGCCCCAGCCAAAGACATGGACTTGGTGTGGGTTTAATCTGGAAATATCCCATTAGTCCCTAAGCAGAAATAAATATACTGTGTTATCTGTATTCCACTAAATAACTAGAAACCTTTTAAAAATATAATTCAAAGAACTGATTAGTCCACAGGCATAAAGCCAAGCAGTGTCACACAGCATGCATCCAATGAGAAATGGGCTGTTTTAAAGCCCAGAATACAGAATTTACCTATCTTGAATTCCAGAACACAAATTATGAACCAAGCAGAAAACTCAAAACCTCTTTTTAAGGTCTGTTTTGTGACACTTACTTCCCTCAAGTCTCGCCCTTCCCTTCATACTCCTGATGTTAAATATACTTTCAGCAGACACTTCCTTCTGTCCAAGCTTCTTATGTCTGGCCACACACTCTTGACAGGCAACACACACATCCTATGCTTATATTCCCATTTCCATGTATTTTATCCATTTCTTTGCAAACAAAACTGACCCAATAAATACCTACTTTCAGCAAAGAGCTACTTTTCTGCATTATAGAATTCTCACCTTCAGTTTTTCTTGCATTCTCTTTAGACAATCCCTCCCAGGTGGGAAGTGTTTCTGTCACAATCAAAGTCTTAGATGTGAATGACAATGCTCCAGAGTTCCCCAGATTCTATGAAGCTTTTGTCTGTGAGAATGCCAAAGCTGGGCAGGTAAGATGGCCTATAAGCCAGGCACCCCAATGTATAGAAACATTGCTTCAAATAACCAAATTTGCCATCAAAGACATTTCCACTCCACCAGTACAGTTTAAAAAACCGTCCCCAAATTCTGTACAGCAGCTTTCAACAGTTTACATATTAAGACAACTATCTGGAGACTATACTACCTTTTATGATCTAAACAGGGCTTTGACAGAGGCTTGATTCACAGACAGCCTGTGTAAGTTGTCTACCCATCTTGAAACAAAACTATTATCATTCTAACTATAAAACACCTGCTCTCAATCTAGAAGGGAGACACCATCCAGATCAAGAGAAGTAAGAGTCTTGCTCTTTTCCTAATAGCGCAATCCTTTAAAATATGCAATAGGGAAAGTTTGTGTTCTATATCTTATCTTAGTTATCTATATCTTATCTTAGTCTCAGCCATCAATAATGTCTATATCTCATACTGCCCACCTTTTCTGTACTGCCCATACCCCACCTGCTATCGTTGCAATTCTGTTTTACACTGCTTTCTTCAGTGGCTTTTTCATCATGGTCTCCAGAGCCTTCATGGAAACTTATTCCTTTGAAGAACATTGTGGAACAGACAAAACCTGGCCAAAGAGCTCAACAGGAAGCCATCCCACCTCTTGTTCTCCCCACCACCAACCCTAGCTTCTGACTCTAGTCTGTTCCCACTCTGGGGATATCTTTTCTAGCTCTACCTCCTACCAACAAAATATGACTGTCAGGTAACCCCAACATTCACATCTGCTTTCTCTTACTTTAACATAACCAGTGATGATGTTTCTGCTTAATTCCCTCCTAGGTAGTAGTGACCACTCTTAAATAGAGTTTCTAAAAGATAACAATTTAACCCTGAATTTTCACCCTGCGATGTTAAGAAGATAGGATACAAAGAGGAAAATTAGGGGGATAAGCAGGAACTTGTGGCACTAAACAGTTCTTTTACTCAAAGTCTTATATTTATACTGTCTAAAAATGACTGACCATGGTGTAGGACTGTAAGCTATACTGAGGTCTAAGGTATTTAGGTAATGTTTACCTATGCCTATTAACATACTCAGGCCCAACATTAAACCAAAATTAACTTTGGAATTATGTGATGGCATGGAAACTTCTCAGGTGAGCATCATGATATCTTTCTCATTAGGTAAAACAACCTATCACTGAATTTCAAGGCTTGAGATTTCACTGGACCCTGAAGCTTTTTCCTTTGACTCCAACTCACCTGATTTCATATCCCTCCTTCAGCTGATCCAGACAGTAAGTGCTGTGGACCAAGATGACCCACACAATGGTCAGCATTTCTACTACAGCTTGACTCCAGAGGCTGCTAACAATCCCAACTTCACCGTAAGGGACAACCAAGGTAATAAGGGGTATAAATGGCTAAAAGGATTAAGTGTACAAAGCACTTTACAATTTCAAAAGTATTTCCCCATACTGTGCTTTGATATTTATAATGAATTTGTAAGTTACTAATCCCTCTGATTCCCATCATCCCATCTGATAGCTTAGGCTGGATACTTTCAGTTAGTGTACCATGCAAACAGTGTCAAAGTTTGCCTGCTCCTTAACAGGAAGGAGGATATTAATGCTACTTCACAGTCTTCTTTTTTTTTTTTTTTTTAAGTTCAGCTTCACAACAAAAAACAGAGAGTGCCCTCTGCTGACTCTAAAACTTCCATTCATCACTCAGTTGGCAAATGTTTAAAGATGCTTGTTCTGTGCCAAACCCTGTTCAAGACACAAAGACAAAATCTTTCCTTTATTCCTATAGATAGTAGCCATGTTTACATGTACTGAAACATGGGAATAACCTGAGAAAATAATAAACAGTGATCTAGAGAAAGAGGAAAATCCTGAGGGAACAGTTCTAACCAATGATCAAAGGGGGGAAACAGTGAAGATCTCTCAGAACAAAGGGGAGGCAACAGCTAAATAAGGTAGAAAAGGGCAAACAGAGGAAAACAAGCAGTTTGACCACCGAAACAACTTTATAATTTATAAAGTCTAAATTTATAATTTATAATTTAGAAATACATACCCAGGTGAGGGTCCTAGTGCAGAAAGTGCAATCTCTGCTAGAATTGTACTTCTAGGCCCTTCTCCAACAAGCATTCAGAAAAGCAAAGGAGATTAAAGACACACTTTTTTGAGTAAAGATGGGGAAAAAAGGGGACTTTTGTTCTCTAGTGAGATGATTTGTTCCAAAGAAAGATCAGTGCAATTGCAAAAATATATTAAATCTGTCAAATCAACTCCTTATGTTGTTAACTCACTACCAAACAGTGATCTGACCTTGAGGAGGTCATGATTTCCTTAGGCTGCAGTAACCGTATTTTCATTCCAATTCAAAAATATTATGACTTTGTAACAACATAAACAAGGGGTAGTAAAAAGTCATGATTAGGCAGCTTTGTCTTCGTCTCAACCATCAATTATTTGAGATTTAAAGTATTAATTCAACCCCATATGATATTCTTCTATAAAACCTGAGAATCTCAAATTTATTTTGTTCTAACTGGAAACTATTCTTCAAACCACACATTATCATAAAATCAGTATGATAATTCTGGGAGGAAGGATAATATGAATCCTAACAACAGAAAAATCACAATTAAAATATCCTGAGATTTTTATTTGGTTAAACTTTTGAACTATTCATTTATCTACTTCATAGGGAAATACCTTCTACAAAAGCAGTTTCAGTCTCCTCAGGGTTCATTTTACAAAAGAAACCCTAGAGTGAGAAAGATAACACTTTATGCTGTTTTTTCAAATTTCCCGCTAAGTGTCACTCTCATACTTGCCAAACTCAATACAGAAATTTATAGCAGCAAAATGCTACAAATTTATTAAAGATGACTTAGGGCACCAATTCATGAAACCAATTTCTTACAAAGATAGTCCAGTGGAACAAAACGACAATAAACAGATATGACTCATCTCTTGGAAGGCTTGCCAAAATAGAAGTCAGTACATCTTCAACAGAAAGCATGTACTTCTAATCTCCACATGACAGTTTATCCCACCAGTATCATTTATTGAGGCTTATTAAAAAATTGACCAACATCTGATATGGTTGACCTAATGTCAAGTGCCCAACTCCCATGCCTGAATCATCATGTCCTTTTATGAACACAACAGGACATTATCACAAAAAATGCCTTTTTTATACTCTAATCTTGAAACATTATGAGAAGGATTATGGGTACAAAGCACTTTACAGTTTCAAAAGAATTTTCCCATACTTTACTTTGATATTTACAATGAATCTATAAGGCTTTAAGGAAATTACTAATCCCTCTGATTCTCATCATTCCATATGATAGCTGGGGAAAGTAAGCAAATGACCTAAGATCAGAGAGTGAGCAAGCATTAAGACTGAGACTAGAAGTCAGATCCTAGGTTGTGGCCCATCTTCCCACTACACACATTTATATTTGTAGAAACAATACTCTTTCCAAACAGGTTATAAAAGCCCCAATTATCACATTCAACAAAAAAAAAATTCCAATTTCAAATGGCTACTTTATGCCAGACTCCTTCCAGGACTGAACTTAGCAATATGAAGCTCTGATTTTTTTTCTTCTTAAATAACTCTTAGATCAAGAAACATGGTTAGCAGACATAATATACTACTTTTCTGAAATGCTGTTCTAGTCAGTCTTTATTTTTGCAGGGGATGGGGTACTGGGATTGAACTCAGGGGCATTCAACCACTGAGCCACATCCCCAGCCCATTTTTTCATTTTATTAGGGACAGGATCTGACTGAGTTGCTTTAGCACCTCATAGTTACTGAGGTTGGCTTTGAACTTGCAATGGTCCTGTCTCAGCCTCTTGAGCCGCTAGGATTATAGGCGAGGGCCACCACAGCCGGCTTTCTAGTCAGTCTTTTTTTATAATTTAGTCTTATGACATAGTTAGGATTAAACCAAAAAATAAAAATAATAACAATCAAGGAAAACCTGTTTTCTGGAAAAAAAAATAAAACTACAAAGCACAATTAATCGTACTTACCTATTAAGTCTAAAAACAGAAAAGCAGGTAAATGGGTTGTATGTTAAGTGAACATATGATTATAAGCCTCATATTGGTAACTAATTACTATCTTTATTCACTGAGAAAAAAATAAAAAGAAGACAGCCTGTATCAAAGCAGGAAGAGATCATGACTATCTAAGTTATTTTTTGACAGGCAATGTTACTAAACTAAATAAGTAACTGTATAACCCAATAGAGTAAATTGTGTGTGTGTGTGTGTGTGTGTGTGTGTGTGTGATTGAACCCAGGGCCTGGTGCATGCAAGGCAAGCACTCTACCCCCAGCTATATCCCCAGCCCCAGAAGAGTAAATGTTTTAAAGTCAGTCTGTCCAGAGTTCAAATCCCAGTCTGCTACTAAATAGGTTAGTGACTGAACAAATTATAAAATTGTATAAGCCTTAATTCTCTCACTGTAAAGGGATATAATTATCACTATCTCACCAAATTTTTGATAAGATTAAATGAGATACTATACAGAAAGTGAATGTAACTAGCACCAGCATGTGTACCATTTTAAAAAAAAAAAAAAAAAAAAAAACAGAAGGAGGAGGAAGAAAAAGCAATTAAGGAATTGTGTATAATTCAGAACAGGCTAAGTTATGCTTCAGGAACAGACAAACCAAAATCTCAGTGGCTTTTCACAACCAAAGTTTATTTCTTGCTCCCACTGTACATCTGAGTTATCCAAGACAACTGTTCACCATATGAAGCTCAGTATCCCAAAGTTCTTGGATTCCATCCCACAACATTCTTTCAGTTATCACAGCAAGGCAAGAGAACCACACATCAGTTCCTTCAAGCTTCTGCCTTTAAGTAGTAACACAAATCAATTTTACTCATATTTCATCAATTATACTAAGAAAATCACTTAGATATGTCCTAAGAGGTTAAAAAAGTATAATCCTTCATTGAGTCCAAGAAGGGAAGGAGAAGTATTAACGATCACTAATAATGCTTTACTTTGGTTAGGCTCTCAGAAGCTTTTGTGAAATTCTAAGCCCCACCATGGGAAATGTGAAACACATCCAGGAAATCTTCCATGTTGATGGTACTAGATTTGAGAGAGGCACTGTTTGTATGTCTTACCACATCTCTCAAACTGTTCCTCTGCTAAAAAGATCTGAGCTTTGCAAAAATATATCTGCTTTAGAATTCAAAGACACTCCAGGAAATCTAAGAATATAAAACAATCAAAAATCTCAAAACTTAACATTAGGCAAATGTAAATATAAATAAACCCATGTACTCATCAGCTTTGCAGAAACATCTCTAATTCGGCTAGAGGAGGAATAATTTCAGTAGGGATAAATTCTGGTGTTCTATTATACAGAGGGTGATTATACAACCATATGTATAATTCAAAATAGCCAGGAGAGAGGATTTTGAATGTTCTCATCAAAAAGAAGAAATAAATGTTTGAAATGACAGATGGATAACCTAAATATCCTGAGTTGATCATATATAATATATAAACCACTGAAATATCACATTGTACCTCCATAAAGATGTAACTATTATTATCAACAAATTATTTAAAAAACATGAAGGGAAAATAACTAATATTACTGATCAAGAACAAATTTTACCAGTTCATGTTAACTGTTTAAACTTAGACTGCTATGCCAGGAGAAAATAATAGTGTCAGATGTTTAGAGGATTTCAAATAACCTTCTACTAAATGAGCAGGTTCTTCAGGAAGTCAGTGACTGCAATTCAGAGGCATAAAAGAAAATAGCAAAAGACATGAATTCCAGCCACAGTGGTAAAAACAAGCAATCCACTGCAGCCACATGGGCTCCTCAGCATTTTCCTGGAGGCATAAAGTAGCACTGGGGCCTGGAGATCTGCTAAGTAGGAACAAACAGGGACAAGTTGCCAGTGATTGTTCACTTCTATCAAGCTTTCCTAGGGACATTTTTGCTAGATCTGAAGGTTGACAGTTCGCCCTAGGCACTTCATGTCACAAAGGGTGAGACAGGTTCTCAGAAAAGTGTTTCTCTCCTAGGCCTCAGGGTTTTGCTTAAAGGCAAGCAAAAATCTTGGGTTTCTAAATCCAAATACTGACCCAGGCCATCCTACAGTAGCTACAAATGAACAGTTCCAGGGAACATAAACTAGCCTCTTTCTTTCCTATCCCCATCCCTGCCCACTTGCTTTCCTCTATTCCATAAATTAATTCACCTGTTGGTTCTTCCAGTTTCTTCTCTAATTTTTCCTTTTTCTTATTCAACCCTGGAACTCCTTACTTCTTCAGATAACACTGCCCGGATTCTAACCAGAAGGTCTGGCTTCCGGCAGCAGGAACAAAGCGTCTTTTACCTTCCCATCCTGATAGCAGACAGTGGGCAGCCAGTGCTGAGCAGCACAGGTACACTTACCATCCAGGTATGCAGCTGTGATGATGAAGGCCACGTCATGTCCTGCAGCCCTGAGGCCTACATGCTCCCAGTCAGTTTGAGCCGGGGTGCCCTCATTGCCATCCTAGCCTGCATCTTTGTCCTCTTAGGTGAGTAGGTGGTTCCTTTCTTTTCCATCATGGTGGGTCCTGCAAACGCTTGCTCAGACTAGTCAGTTACTCCCAACACAGCTACTCAGAACTGCTCTTCTACTCCATGCTTACTGAAAAGGTGGTTAAGTAAAGTTTGTGGAAAAGTACAAAATTGAGACAGTTCCTGAAGTGTATATATATTCATCAAGCATATACAATAGGTTGGAACACCATGCTAGGTGCTAGAATTAAGACAGACATGTCTCAGTCTTCAGAGTTTATTTCAAATCAAGTTCATTTTTATACCATAGAGCCAAAAATAAAAATTTAAAAGAAGATACAATAATCATTTATAACTCCATCATTTCAGATTAGTAGTAGCTAAATCACATAGAGGTAAGTAACTGGCCCTAAGCCAGTGTCAGCGGCAGAGCTCAAACTGAAATGCAGGAGGACATACATTGGGTACCTCCTCAGCAGCACTGCCCTTCTGAGTGCTCTTTTTCAGATTCTGGAGATGGCTAAGTATTACAGAGAAGAGGAACAAGTTGTATATCTGGGAAGATGGGATAATGCCTAGATACCATCTCAAGTAGAGTGGTCAGTGAAGCCCTCACAGAAAAAGAGAACTTTGAACAGAGGTTTGAAGGAAGTGATCAAATAAACCACGTGGATTTCTGGGGAATAAGCTCCTTGTGACATTATTGTCCCTGCTAGGCAATGTGGCCATCATATAAAAATCAGTGACTAAACAGGGCCAGTTTGCCTCTGAAGATGACATAAAAAGAGGAGATGACAGGCTAGAGGGATAGCACTATTGTGGTAGGGGTTACTTACTTTTTTCTCTCAAGTCATACTGCAAGACTGCCTCTCAATTCCCTTATACATAATGCCATCTGTGTCATTGTTTTTGAATTCCACATTCAAAGACAAATACCTAAATCATCTATTGAAGCCAAGAAAATAACCGTACATATATTCCACCTCTTCTTATTGTATTATGCCAAAGCAAATACATCTTACCTGGGGAAAAGCAAACTTAATATACAAAAATATTATTTAATATAAAAGAAATCCCAGCTTTCTATGAGGGAAGAAAATAAAGCTCTAGGGATTTCAATTAAAAGAGACTTGCATATATTTACACACACCCTCTATCTCTTGTTTACCTACACACCAAGAGACTGAGTCAGAGCAAAGAAGAAAATTCCCCACTATAAAAAAATGTCTATTTGACTGATTTTCTAGGCAGGCCCGTAAAGCAGCCCTCTCAAGACATTTTAAAATACAACATGTGGCTTAATTTTGTTGACATAGTTCAGTCTTACATGAAGGAAGAAGTAGAATAAATGAATAACCTTCCTAAGTCCTTGGATCCCTGAATCAGAGAGACTTATTTTCTGGTCCATGTATACTGGCAAGTAAAACCTGCCTGAAATTCCTTGTGTGTCCATAAGGTGGCATCGGGAGTCCTTGAGTACAGAACAGGACCACCTGCAAGAAGCTGTTGAAAAAACCTGCGCCTAGGAGAAATTTCAAGAGTAGATGCCCTTACTTCTATCTTTGGAAAACGTTCTCTAAGTTTACTCTGACCAGACAAAAAAAAAAAACCATCATTACAGAAAGACTGATTTAAAGAGAGTAGCTCAGAGAAGCTCTCAAGTTAGAAGTGGTGTGCAAGGGATAATTTATTTCGTCCCTCTCAAACCCATTATTTCTTGTCTTTTGAACTGTACAGAATAAGTAAACAGTTTTTAGGAGCTAAGTTAAGCAAAGGTATCACAAAATCCACATGGTTTTATGCATTCTTATTTCTAGAGTACACATCTCACATTAAATATAATTCATAAAACCATGTAAAATTTGAATTGCAGTTGATTTGTTAACAAAATACTACATTTTGTGGACAATTAAACAAACACATTAATTTTGACAGTTTTGATTTTGCAGGGATTTTTTAATGTCTGAAATATGTATCCAGTTCTTAGAAAATTTCATAAGTCTATTCACTATGCCTGTTGTAAATAAAGAGTAAGTATCCCACTAGGAATGGTGGCACACCTCTGTAATCCCAGCTAAATCTGGAGGGTTAGGCAGAAGGATCACAAGTATGAGGTCTGCCTGTGCAACATAGTGAAACCTTGTCTCAAAATTTAAAAGAAAAAAAATTAAGGGTCAGGGATGCAGCTCAGTGGTAACATGCTTGCCTAACAAGAATAAACAGACCTAAAACTGATTCTCTTCTGTCAGGGAATCAGGGGAGCCTTTCAGCTAAGGACCATTTTTCCCAAAATATGATTTTCAGGGTGTAATATGATACTTATTATTAAATCAGATTACCTAAAAAAATAAGACAGATGGCAATAATAATAATAATAAATTAAGATGGACCAGTTCCATACACTACCTAATTCTCCATCACCATCACCATCAGAATTTCCTCCAGAAGATACTCAAAGACTTTTATTTCTCTTATTTTTTTTCTTTTAAGAGTTAGAGCCTTACTATGTTGCCCAGGCTAACCTCAAACAATTCTTCTACCTCAGCCTCCAGAGTAGCTGGGACTACAGTTGCATGCCACAATGCCTGGCTACTCAAAAATTTTTCTCATTTTGCATCCTAGCATTTTCCAAAATATCACCACTGACACTCCAGGGTTACTTGTGTGAATCACTTTCCTGTTGCCCCAGAATTCACTGACCATGTCTCTGGAATCTAATGGTAACACCTGTGAACCTATAACCCTTATTACTGCCTGATTTGTATTATCATCAATGTTTATACTCTTCTTAGCCTGCAAATTCATCAGAACAGGAACTATATCATAACCAATCTTATTTCCCATTGCTTAACATAGAGCCTAAACAAAGATTTAGGTTTTAGTAACTGTTTACTGAATCCCACAAATAAAGCATGTTCACTTAGACTCCCATTTTTCCATCTGCCTTCAATTCAAATTACATTCCAGTATTGGATGCTCAGTTCGAAGTCCCACTTCTTTAAAGTTCTTCTAGCTTCTTTCCCTGAAATCCTATAGTTCTAGTCTATACCTCATGTTTTTACACACAGGAAAAATACATACAAGTATTTGTGCATTTTATCAACCAAGTTAATCACAAAAAAGTTATTTACAATTAACTGCTATTTATATGAAAAGCTCATTCTACATTCAAATACTTTAAAAGTCATTGTTGTGAACTTTGTTATATGGTCTGTAATCTCTTACTGAATATGAGTATATGCCACTATTTTTTTCCTTGGATAAACTGGAGTCTTATTTTGCAGTGCTGTCAAACTGTCACTATTCACCAGCTGTAACAAAGCACACCAGGAAAAAAAATCAATAGCAGTTCTACAGCTAGAACCTCAACACACTTCCTGGAAAAACATTTTCAGTCACAAAGATAAACAGTTCAATGGGATTATCTCTATCTCTCCTCTAAATCCCAGCAAACACACCCTTAAAAACAAAATTTTAAAAAATGGTGCATTTGTTGGGATAAAATTTTATCCAAACCTGCAAGGGCACATCTAACAGTGTGGTGTTTCTTTGATAACATGATGAATTATATAACATGTCACTGCTCATTCCCTCCCTTCCATGAAAATGACTAGATCCAGAAAGCCACAGCTACCTCTCTAATGAAAGGCTTTCCTGAGGAATGCACCACACGGGTCATTTATGCTCTTACTTTTTTTGGAGGGGATACAAAAAAGACAACGACTTTAGTTCATATTCAGTTCATGTGTCTATATGCATATTAATTAATATATGATTATATTTAGAGTTAGAATCCTATAAACATGCTAATATAAGAAAGCAGAATTTCACCCACATAATAATTCACATTACAAAATAAATGTATATTCACTGTTATATGGGCAGATACATGAAGTGATGCTTAGCTTATTTCACAGCAGGACATAGTGCTTTGTGCTTTTTAAGTGGGATTTCACACTAGATTGGGTGGGTGCACATACACACACACACACACGCAGTATCAAAGCAGCAAGCTGATGTGCAGACTTCATATCTCACTTTTTAACTGAACCAACTTTAGAAATACAGGGCAACTTTCGCCCACACGTTCTCAATCTCAATGGCAGAAAGAGCGAGGAGGAGGTAGGTAGCCATTAACTCTGAGGACTAGAGTACCCAAGCGCAGTCTCTGAGCTCACCATTCCGAGTTCTTCCTGAACCTGGGGCTAGTGGCGGGTACTTCTAGGGACAACACACACGCGGAGGCTCTTACCATAAACGTCCTGTTCCTCTGTCCCGGCAGTTCTGGTGCTGCTCATCCTGTCCATGAGGCGGCACCGGAAGCAGCCGTACATCATCGACGACGAGGAGAACATCCATGAAAACATCGTCCGCTACGACGACGAGGGCGGCGGCGAGGAGGACACCGAGGCCTTTGACATCGCGGCCATGTGGAACCCGCGGGAGGCGCAGGCGGGAGCCGCCCCCAAGATGCGGCAGGACATGCTGCCCGAGATCGAGAGCCTCTCCCGCTACGTGCCTCAGACGTGCGCCGTCAACAGCACCGTCCACAGCTACGTGCTGGCCAAACTCTACGAGGCCGACATGGACCTGTGGGCCCCACCCTTTGACTCCCTGCAGACATACATGTTCGAGGGTGATGGCTCCGTGGCGGGGTCTCTGAGCTCCCTGCAATCGGCCACCTCAGACTCAGAGCAGAGCTTCGACTTCCTCACCGACTGGGGACCCCGCTTTCGGAAGCTGGCGGAGCTCTACGGGGCGTCGGAGGGGCCCGCGCCCCTGTGGTAACGGAAGCCAGGAGGCAGGTGCATGTCCAAATCCAGACGTTCTCGGAGGCTACTTCGCGGACGAGGTGCAGCCGATCACACGCGCTATACAGTGCTGGAGAGTGAGGATGGGGTGAGCGGGGTGAACAGAGCTCTCTCTGGATCAGCTTTACTTGGTCAGATTAATTTAAATAATCAAAAGGAAACCCAGGAAGAGGAGGGCAGGATCTCCAATTATCTTTTTTCTTTTCTCTTTAATTTTTTTGACACTATATTCAAAGGCTTGGAGTCCAAGGTGTTAGACAAGCCTGGCTTTTTTTTTTTTTTCTGCCATTCACCAAAGCCTTTGTCACTTTGCCACCACAACAAAGGTACGTGTCTTAAATACAGAGATGGCAAGTGAACGCAGGTAATAAAAACGTCGAATTCATTTTTATTTTCCACTTAGGAGTTTTGCTGTATGATCAAACTGCAGAAACCAACCCACACACAAGAACCCTGAAAATTTGTTCTTCGGGGAAGTTAACCTACTTGTTCCGAAATGGATGGAATTTCTTTTAACCCTTTTGAGACAAGGTTAAGACTGAATCAGCCTTGCATGGGGGATGGGTGGGAGGGGGGGAGAAGGAAGAGACATGGACTTTGTGCTCAAGTTTAATAGCTGAAGTTTAATAGAGTTGTTGGCATAGCTAATCCAGTACCGTTGAGTTAGAGTGCTTCTGTTCTCCTCTCAGCTCTTTATGCCCCTGCAAAAGTGTTCAGAATGAAACCAGAAAATCTGCCTTTTATGCACTGTAGATGTCTCTTCCATGTGCCAAATGTGGAGATTAGATGCTACAAATGAAAGCCAAATAAAAAGAAGTATCTGATAAAAGCATGGGTTAGAGGGCTTTCCTAATCTGTGTGAGGTCAATCCAAGGGATGTTTACATACTGTAGATAACCTACTTGAACAAAATCAGTATTATAGAGAATAAATGGATGTAAGAAATTACATGTATAAGTTTTGTATATTTGTTAATAATTTTGGTAATAAATATGATGTACTTCATCCCAGTACCTTAGCACTTCTTTTAATAAAAGTTAAATAGAAGGGAAAGTCTGTTGCAAATCTGTTTAATCACTGAGAAGATAGAAGGTGACTTTTTGATTCTGATTTAGCTTCAAATTCATTGGACCGAGACTGATTTATAAGGCAGAAGCAATGTCAAAGAAGTATGAGGTCATATATTCTGTTTCAGTCACTAACCAGGTGAACTTTATGGTTCAAATGATTAAACTTTTAATCAGTAATCTTTATTCTTCCATCTCTGAAAAGAACAAGGGGTGATTTGGTAATATCTATCAATGATACAGTGAGGCATTTAGCCCATATTTTGCATTTTGTAAGAGGGTATTTCGGAATGCCAACAAAGAGGTAGGCTACTGTGTTGTTTTCATCTCTACTGTATCACCAAATCAAAAATGATCCACTTATTCATTCACTCAGAATAAGCTCCAGAAGGTTAGAAGCTTATTTTATTCTTCTTTTCTTTCACTAAAGTAGTTAACATAATCCTATGCATACAGTAGATGCTTAACAAGCGTGTACATGACAGGATCTTTTTATTTGATGCTGTATTACTAAAGGATAGTCTACACAATTATCCTCACAACTGAGGACAAATTATGAATAAGAGAGATTTCTAAGAATTTTGATTATAAAAGTGGTTCTCAAATCAAAATCAACTGCAGGTCTTAAACTACCTTCCCCCAGAATTTCTGATTCAGTAGATCTGGAGCAATTTGCCTTTGTAACAAGTTCCTAGGACTGCTGATGCTGCCAGTTCAGAGACCACATTTCAAGAACATGTGGTGTATGATTACTCACTCTCAAATACATGAAGATTAGATTATCAGCCCACTTGAGGTCCACCCTATCAAAAGAATGGTGTGGTCAATCTCCTTTACTAAAAAGGGCTGTTTGGCAGAAGTGTACAGGAATGATGAAGAAAGGTTTGAGAAGACAGATGAGGGTCTGGGAGCCAGGGGCTGTGATTTTGTGCATATTGCATAGTATACTAACAGCCAGGCAAATTCTCGTCTTCAGTTTTGTACATACAAACCTTTTCCTCCTGTAGAAGGCAGGCAACCCTGATGCATCCTCCTTGAGGGTAAGGTGTAATATAAAAATAAATGTAACAAAGGAAAATAACAAAACATGAACTTGAACCTAAACCAGACTCTAGGACATACTAATTATGTGAAGTGGACAAATTAACTTCTGTGACATTCTTCCTTTCCACCACAAGCTCAGGATAATTTTGTGACTATTTCACTTTGTGTTGTATGTCTTACAACTGGGAACAGCTGCTTTCCTAACCACAGGGTTATCATGCCCCACATCCTGCAAATGTGGTCCCCATGACAATGCATAAAGTGATTATACAGAACTTCCTAGATGTGCTGGTCTCTGAGAGAATATTTAATAGTGTAATATGAGAAATGTGAAAGCAGCACAAAATAGATCATTTCATCTTATACTGTAAGCTAAAAGAGACCCTTTCCCTCCAAATGAGTTTTAAAATTCCCTTTCTGCTACCATAGTATACCACAAATGTTATACCCTCTGGGAGGGAAAAAAAAAAGTGTGGATGGTGTGGGGAGAAAGGAAATCATCACCACTAAACAGGAAGAGTGCTTTGGTTAAGCCAGAGAGCTATAAAATTATTCCACTACTTCTTTGTTAACAGGTAAAGTTGGTAGCCAATAATTAATATGTTAGAGGGGAACAAGAACATCTGTAGGGATAAGTAACTTGCCTAAGGTTACATATTTAGCTCCAGAGTCTGTTCCCATAATCACTCCTCCACAGTGCCTCAATCTCCCCTTCTGACAACATCTGCAGTGGAGGGCTTTGAAAAAGTATCCATCTGCCCACCCACCCCACAAATTAAAAATTACTAAATAAAAAAAAAGAGAATCTGTAGGAAACAATTTGATTTTTTTAGACTCATTGAGAAACTGTATTCTGAATAAGGATACAGGAAAGATTAAAAATTCACAAATTTCCTGAATCAAAAAAGGAGAATATTTCAACATGGCAGACAGCAAAGACAAAAATGGAATGACTTACTCAAGAAAGAATATGCAAATCCTAAAAACAGTATTCAGAGCTGGTACATTGATTAAAGATTGTCACTAGCTCACTAGTAATACAGAACTATGCCTTGATGTCAGAATTCACAGTGTAGCCAAACAGGGCTGTGACTACATGAACATAGGATACACTGTACAAGTAATTCTCACTGCAGATCAATTCATTCTCAAATCCATCTGTCACTTTCATAATAGATCTTTAAAAAACTTTTTTAAGATATTATTATATACATATACCAGGATTTAGGAATCTTATGCTTGATTCTTAAACTTTCTCATACAGTGAGTAGACAAAATTAAGTCAAAGGGTCTTCTCTCTAAATGATCTACTAGTAAGACTTATATATGTCTCTTATGATTCAAATTATGCAAAGAAGTGAATGCTACTTTGCTATGTATGTAATTAACTATGACTCAGTTAGAAGTAATCTTTTTAATGAGTAATCTTTACACAAAACACAATTTTTCTTAGGTTTTTCTTCCTGGGAAAAGACACTAGTAAATCCTGCTCCATTTGGCCACCCTCTTGGTTTTTAATGATGGTCAGCTGGTTGGGGATAAGGGTGTTTCTTCCTGGCTGCTTATTGTGGCCACCTTCCTGATGCCCATGATGCCAAGGGCTCCCCCAGAAACCATAAGACTACTTCTCTGGAGTATCTACACTAAAAAAACTAATGCAACTATCTACAGAATCTTTTCTAATTTTTCAGGAGGAATGAAGCCTGTTTTGTTGTTGTTATTTTCAGTTTTGTTTTTTCCATTCCTTCTTTCCTGTCACCAGTTTCAGTTACCATTGCCACATGAAGAGGAAGGAGAAGAGGAAGGGGAAGAGGAAGAAGAAGGAGGAAGAGGAGGAGGAGAAACAACTTGGTTGTGTTAAATAAATTCTCTGGGTCAGAAATTCAGAAAGGATCCCTCAAACACATTTTGTCTCTGCTCTACAATGTCTAGGGCCTCAGCTGGGGAGACCAAAAGTCAAAGGGTGATTCAGGGGCTGGGACCCAACTCATTCAAATGTTTTCTCATCCACATGTGTCCTTGTTGACGCTGCTATCAACTAGGACCAGATGAAGTGACTGGTCATCTAGAGCTGCTTGGACTTCCTCGAAGCAGGGGAGCTGGGTCTCAAAAGGGAGTATCACAAGAAAACCAAGAGAAGTAGAATCGTTTTTTATAACTTTGGAAGTCACATCATGTTATCTCTATGGGAGTCACAAACCTCCCATATCAAAGAGGAAACATGGACTCCACCTCTCAATGAGAAGTTTCAGAGTCATATCAAAAAGGAAATAATATGCCTATTATTGGAAAATACAATCCACTATATCTTCTTTTTTTCTACACTGCCTCTTTCCTTCTTCTTGAGGAATCATACTTGGTTCCACTCACAATTTCCTCTTCCACTCCCCCTCTTCTCTATTCAATATCATCTTATTCTATGAATATATTACTCTTCTCTGAAAGTTGGCTTGATCCCTATCATACTGTGCTTTCACAAGTAAACGAACATTTCATGAAAACAACTAGCAAAATTTCTGACACATACCAGGAATACACTACATTTTATTGAGGTAAAATCAACATTCAATTTTCTGCACATAGACTATACAGTTGAAAAATTTTGATATTTTGACACACACATGAAGCCATCACCACAATCAAGATAATGATTATACCCCCAAATTTCTCTCATTCACCTCTATAACATCTCCTTCTCATCCTGACCTATTCTACTTCAACCCCAAGAAAACACTGATGGATTTTCTATCACTATAGTTTACATTTTCTAGACTTTTATATAAATGGAATTGTAAAATATGTTCATTTTTCTTTGATCTAACTTCTTTTACCCCACAATTATTTTGAGATTCATTAATATCATTGCATCAATTGTTTGTTGTTTTGTTGCTGAATAATATTCCTTATAAAATGTATCACAATTTTTTCCTATTTTATGTGGATAGAAATTTGAGTTGTT